TAATGGCTGCCAGGAAGGCCAATAAAGATCTAAAGACATTAGGCAGCAGGCCCAAAAGATCAGGGCAGTATTGTTGTCACTTGCTAAATTTAGATTTACACACTCAGTAATATGTCCCTTTTTAGTGATTTGCCTGAAATTCTAGTAGGCTGTCACCAAGTGGTGGTATTGGCTCTTGGGAATAAGAGACATGGTTCCTGAAGGAAGAAATTATTGCTTTACGTGCTGCTATTATTCTATGTTCGTAAATAACAATAATAACTAATAGTGCTGTTTTAGGTATCAGGCACTGTTCTAAGTGTTCTACATGTTTATCTCGTTTGATCTTCAGAATAGTCAGATGGTGGTTCGTGTCATTATCTTTGCGAGTAATTTGCGTAAGATCACAAAGCTGGGATTTCAGTCCAGAGTCTGTGCTCTTAACCTTTATGTGCTACTTTGTGAATGGGCAATTACCCAAACATGACTGTAGAGGCGGATCACTCTGTAGCCCAGAGCTTCTTAAGCTTAATGGCACATGGATCCCCTGGGGCTCTTGTTAGAATGCAGATTCCCATTCAGTCGATCTAAGGTGGAGCCTGAGACCATGCATTTATAACAAGCTCTCAGGTAATGCTGCTGATGCCAGTCTAGGACCCACACTTTGAATACCCACAGTGGAGAACGTGTGTTTAAGCCTGTGTCAGACCCAAAGCCTACAAGTGCCAAGTATGTGACGTAAATGCAAGGAGCAGCTGGTTGGAACAGAGGCAACACGGAAGATGTGCAGTCATTGTGATGGGGCCACTCCTCAGCCTCAGTGAATAGTCACCTGAGAGATTTCTGGACCAATGTGGTCCTAATTTCTAGGTGGAATCTCCCATTTTCTTTTTCTTTTTTAATTTTTTTAAATGTTTACTATTTTTAAGAGAGAGAGAGAGAGAGAGAGAGAGAGAGAACACAAGCAGGGGAGGGGCAGAGAGAGAGGGAGACACAGAATCGGAAGCAGGCTCCAGGCTCTGAGCTGTCAGCACAGAGCCCAACGCCGGGCTTGAACTCACAGGCCGCGAGATCGTGACCTGAGCCGAAGTCAGCCGCTTAATCAACTGAGCCACCCAGGCGCCCCTGAAATGTCCCATTTTCAAATACTGAGGTGACTAATCCAAGTTTATAAAACACCTTGCAGCTTGTACGTGAATGTTCATCGCAGCATAATTCATAATAGCCCCAAATTAGAAACAACCCAAATGTCTATCATCTGATGAATAAGTAATAAAATACAGCATGTCCACACCATGGGATAGTATCTGGCAACAAGTCGGAATAAAGGTCTGAGACGTGCTCCTACATGGATGATCCTTAAAAGCATTACACTGAATGAAAGAAGCCAGACACAAGAGGATGATTATTGTGTGATTCTTCGTATATGAACCATCTAGAACAGGGAAATCTCTAGAGACAGAAAGGAGATTGGTGGTTGCCCAGGGCTGGGTAGGGTGAGAAGGGTATAATGGATATAGGGTTTCTTTTTTGGGGGGGGGAGGGGGGACAACCAAATGTTCTAAAATTAGATTGCAGTGAGGGTTAATATAAAACTCTGTGAGTGTGGGGCGCCTGGGTGGCGCAGTCGGTTAAGTGTCCGACTTCAGCCAGGTCACGATCTCGCGGTCCGTGAGTTCGAGCCCCACGTCAGGCGCTGGGCTGATGGCTCAGAGCCTGGAGCCTGTTTCTGATTCTGTGTCTCCCTCTCTCTCTGCCCCTCCCCCGTTCATGCTCTGTCTCTCTCTGTCCCAAAAATAAATAAACGTTGAAAAAAAAAATTAAAAAAAATAAATAAATAAAACTCTGTGAGTGTACTAAAACCCACTGAATTGTGCACCTTGTACAGGTGAAATGTGGGGTCTGTGAATCATATCTTGTTAAAGCTGCTTCAACCAAAACCAAAAACACCACGCAGGAGAGAATTAGTCTCTTTAATAGGTAAAGTGCAGTTACAAGTCAACAAGAAAAATAACAAACCCCAGCAGAAAAAAAAAGATCACAAAGGACACACATCAACCCTCGTGACACATTAACCAAGGAAGCATAGTGGTTCTTAAATGCACGGGGAATTCTCTCTTGCAATAAAAGACAAGTCAAAGCCACTCTGAGAAGACTTTCTACCTCTTAGACTGGCAACAGTGACAGCGATTCTGGCGAGGGAATGGGACATTAAGTTGGTACCCTTGCAGGGTGGTGGGGGCGGGGGCCGGGGGCAACGCGTCATTATCCTTCAGAATTGAAAGTGCGCATCCCCATTGACGCCGCGGTTTAATCTCTGGGGATTTATCCCCCACACGTCCCCTCACGCGTGCAAAATGTGATACGCACACACACACACGCACACACAATTACGCATTGTCGCACTGCCATAACGGAAGAGTGGGAGAACCCAGGTGCTCTGTCGTGGTGCTTGGCGAGCGCCGCAGAGCTCGCATAGACGCCGCGCTGTACAGCTGTTAGAACACGGCAGGGCCGTTTGTACTGATGCAGGGAAGAGGTGTGTTATTGCGTATCTCACAATAATAATATGCCCGAGATAGCTTACTAAGAAAGGGAAGATGCAGAACGGAAGGTGTAAGGTGTCCCTCGAGTGAGGGATGGGGACGTGAGTGCGTGTCTATATGGTGTGTATGTTTGTAAATGCAGAACCCATCCCGGGGTGGTGTAAAGGAAATGAAGAAGGCCTCCACGAGGGGAGCTGTGGCCGGGACCAGGGGGAGGGGAGATACACCTTCCGGGTTGCACACGTTGTGCCTGCGTTGCCTCTCCGATAACCATTCAAGTTTATTATTTGGAGAGAGAAAGAGAGCGCAAGCAGAGGAGGGGCAGAGAGAGAGGAAGAGAGAGACAATCCCAAGCAGGCTTCGCACTGCCGGTGCGGAGCCTGATGTGGGGCCTGAACCCACGAACCGCGAGATCGGGACCCGAACCGAAGTAGGACGCCCAACCGACTGAGCCACCCGGGCGCGCCGCCCCTCCCCCCAACCCTTTAAACCACACCACCGTGTGGCCAAAGAGCACCTGTGTGCGGGTGCATGCGACCACTGGCTGCCTTTTTACGACATCGGAGTCAGAGAAGGAATTCCTGGCCACCATCACACAGTTTGGTCCCCGAAATCTAGAAAGGATGTGTACCCTCCATCGCCTCCTCTGTTCTCTGTCTCCCTTGTGTGGGTCTCCCAGCCTTGGGATCCCGGGTGTGCTCTGGGGGTCGCCCGGTGTTCCCTGGATGGGGACGAAAGGTGTCTGCACATGGAGTGTGAAGGAGGAAGGGGAAGACCGGGCGACCCCTGTAGGGGCGTCAGTTTGGGCCGGTGGACCCCAACGCCCTACGTTTGCTTCCTGTCCTCTAGGCACGCCCCAAAGGCGAGGGTCTGACCCCGTACCAGGGCAAGAAGCGCTGTTTCGGCGAGTATAAGTGCCCCAAGTGCAAGAGAAAATGGATGAGCGGGAACTCCTGGGCCAACATGGGGCAGGAGTGCATCAAGTGCCACATCAACGTGTACCCGCACAAGCAGGTGAGCTGCGGGCACCGGGAGCGCGGGAGCCACGGCGGGAGGGGCTCTCTGAAGGGCCTCGGGTGTGCGGGAGGGTGACTTTGTCCCTCTTGGGCCTCGGTTTACTCCTTCATATGACAAGGAGGAGACCAGATCTCTCCACGTTGGTTGGCCCTTTGTTGTTCTCATCCGAAATGGGGTTGAGGGAACACCATTTCCCCAGGGAAGGAGGGTAAAGGGGCAATTTCACCAAGACCTTGAGACCGCAGACCCCCGGTGAATTCTTCGGTACTAATGAGCTCGGGGTCCTGTTGTGAGATGAGCGGGGATGTGGGGGGCAGCAGGGCACTCACTCCAGAGAACACGTATCTCGTTCATTTGCTCACTCAGTTGACTCATGTATACAGGACAGCCCCAGTGTACCAGGCACTGAGCGTGGGGCTGGTGGCCAAGGTACATGTGGGCACGCTGGGGCCTGGGGGACAGAGGTGTCATCCCAGGGAGGATGTACTCACTGCAGGCTGCAAAGAGGAGGCCCGTTTACTCCGGGGCCTGAAGGATGGAAGGAAGCCAGACCTGTTACAGGCCATCCAAAGAAGCAGTACAGCAGGTGCAAATGCCCCGTGGCCTTAAGGACTTGGGTGCTCAAGGCCCAAACCTAAGTGAAGAATCAGGAGAGCAGGGCAAGAGGAAGGGGGGGGGGGGGCCCCCCGCTCTCTCGAAACCCACGAGGAACAACACTTTCAGCTTTACTTTGAGATGATTATTCTGGGTGTGTGCAGAGATTAGTCTTGGTGGGGCTGGCTGATCAACAGTGAGGAGTCCAGCGGGAAAGCCATGCCGTGCCATGCGCGCTGGGAAAGGTCTGAACCTAGCAGGTGGCCTTGGACCTGAGTCCAACACAAAATGTCACCGGATTGGATGTGGGAGGTGAGGGAGAGGCAGGAATCCGGAAGAACTATCACCCTTGAGTGGATGGAGTGCGCTTACTGAGGTGGGCATCCTGGGCTGGGGGCAGGGCAGGGTGAGACCTAGGTATCCCAGATAAAAGCAAAAGTCCTCTGATACACATGTTACATGTGAGATGTTCCTGAAAAATCTAAGTCCGGACGTCAAGAAGGCAGTCGGATTTGTTATTTTGAAGCTCATATGAGAAGTCACAGTGGCTTCTACATACTCGGGTATCATGGACTTAGAGGTATGTAGGGAGTGGATGAGATTTCCTGCAGAATGTAGACAAAGTAGAGACAGAATTCTCTATGTGTTGGAGGACTGGCCCTAGCCCTGGCCATGGAGAATACTCTCCATGTGTTGGAGAATCCCAGCACTGGGGGCTCAGCTGGAGGAGAAGGATCCATCACGGAGCAGAACCGGGGAGCATGGAGTCCTGGAGGTCGGGGAGGGGGGTGTACCGTTCAAGTGGGCAGGTGTGGTTGGTGCAGAGATGTCTGGTATAATGGCCATGGCCAAGTGCCCTGGAGATTTGGCAACACCGAGGCGGTCCTCAAATTTCACGGGGCGCCACGTTTACATGGATATCTCGTTGAACTGCACCTAAGGTCTGAGAACCACTAAGCCGGTGCCCTGCAGGTCAGGTGTAAGGACAGAGTGGAGACGTCGATTCTTAGTGGACGTGTTGTCTGGGGCCGTGGCTGTGGAGCCATGACGGGGGTTGGAGGGGTTTGTTGGGCCAGGCTTCATTGTCTACTCTCTCAAGGGGGGTTGATTGTAGAGAGAAGCAGCGATATGGGGCAGTAGCCACAGGAGGGCAGGTGGCATTGAGGTGGGTGTTATGGAGACGGGAAGTCCTGGAGCATGTTACAGGCAAGTGAGAAGGATCCAGAAGGAAGCAAAGGGCTGATGATACGGGAGCAAGGGGGTGATGCCTTACCATGGCACGGGAGGTGGGGGACGTGGGAGTGGTCAGGAAGGTTGGTGGGTTTGATGGCACAAAGAAGACGAGCTTCACTTCCAAGGCTTCCGTCTTCTCTCTGAAATGGGACAGGAGGTTTTCAGGAGAAATGAGAGTGAGGAGGGATGTGGCGGCCTCGGGGAAGGACGGAGGACATGGGCCTCCTAAAGAAATCTAGCTGCGTCCCAGGCCCGGGGAGGTGTGAGGTTGTCACTGGCGCCACCAGCCTGGTTCTGTGACTTGCTCCAGCAGGGTCACGGGGCAGGCGTGGGTCAGAGTCAGTGGACGGGGGCAGAGGTCTGCCAGGACAGTGATTCAGAGGGAGGAAGGCTGAAGAGCTGGCATATTTGGAGAAGTGTGATCGTGCGTGGTCCTGGGATGTCAGCCGGATGGCCCGGAAGGGAGGCCAGAAGGGCCCTAATGGGAAGGGAGGATGAGGCAGGGCCCAGGCCGGGTGGAGCTGCACAGAGAGCAGCTCTTGGTCTGAAGACCAAGTCCAGGGCGTGGCCAAGGGGGCAGTGGGAGAGAAGGTCACGTTGACGATGGCACGGGGGCACTAAGGAGCCAGGGCTAGGGCCAGTCCTCCCGTGTGGGCCGAGTCACCAAGAAGGATGGCAGGAGCAGAGGGGTGGAGGAGGCGGGCCAGGAAGGGAGGTGGGCTTTGAGGCTCTTGGGGAAGGCTCCCGTGAGGCACTGATGTTGGCTGAGCTGTGGTGGAGGCTTGCAGGGGGCTGCGTGGGGGTGGCCGAGCTGGAGGGAACAGCATGTGCGAAGTGGGGAGGCCAGGGTCAGGCACAGAGCACTGGTGGAGCTGAGGGGCGAAGCAGAGGTGGGGGGGGGGGGGCGGGCCGCCTGGGACTGGCTCGGAGGCCATGGTGTGGAGTTTGGGCTTTATCCTGTTAGCGCACGTGGGAGCCATCTGAGAGGATTCTCCTGATTGAAACATCTTGTGATTTTATGACCCTCATGCTGGCCTCCATTGCCTCTGTTTGCAGACCTCCCCACCCCCTCCCCCAAGGGTTTCTGTGGTTCCCATCAACCACACTATGACAGGTAGGCAAGGAGACTCAAAGCTGGCCATCAAGGTCCAGCAGACGGGGGTCTCCTTAGGGGCAGAGCCTAGCCCACATCCTAACGGCAAAGAGGGGGGCACCCAGGCCCAGCAGTGCCAAGACAGGCCTGGTGACCCGGTGGGTGGGCCTAGTGTTTGGGGAGCACATCCAGGGAATGGGGCCAGGAGTAGGCAGTTCAAAGGAGACAAGGCGTCCTGGTTCCTGATTTCCCGGCAATTCCTGAGGTTGGAGACGCCAGTCCAAGACACCTTTTCCACCATGTGTGACAATGATCACACTACCTTGTGGGTTGAACTCCGCGCTCCCAGGGGCACTTGGGGCATGGCCAGTGCTGTTCAGAGGGGTTCATTCCTTCTCTCATGGACCCACTTGGCTTGAGGGCTCCTCCGGGGCCAGATCTGTGCAGGTGCTGAAGGACGGCCAAGTTCAGGGCTTCTAGGCCTTCCCTTCTCCAACTGCAGCGACGGGATTCAATCGGACAGGGTTAGCAACTGGCATTTAGGGAAACTCTGGCCCGAATCATCCTCTGGGCATCATCTGCTGAGTCCCTACACACCCCTCGTGTATACTCTGTCCTCAGATGGGGTGTTCTGTTCATCCATATTTCACAGGGAGGAGAAGCAGGGCCCTGAGAAGCCCCGTCTTCTTCCCAAGGTCCCCGGGTGGGAAATGGGGTTGAACTTGCCTCTGTGCTTGGAGACGGTCTGTTGAAGTGCTGGGGGGCCCAGGCCTGAGGCCAGGCGGGAGTCAGTACGTGTCTCAGCTCAGCTGCACAGGCACTGGGTGTGCCGGAGCGAAGGGTTCAGCGTGCTCCTGGGGGCGGGAGGGAGAGAGGAGGCTGCAGGTGGGTCCCCGTGATGGGAGAGGGCAAGGATGGGAAAATTGTAAGAGTACTTAATACCCGTCATCCTCTCAGCTACCCCACGAGGTCAGCACTGCTGTCTTTCCTTTCTACAGAGGGGGAAAGGGAGGCAAGGGGTGTAAGTGATTGACTCAAGGTCCGTAGAGAAGCTGGGTTTCAAGAAGAGGGATCAAGTTTGGGGCCAGAGGGAAAGGGGAGCACGGAGGCCACGTCACGGTGGCGGGCTGGGCTGGGGAGCCCCCAAGGGGGCTCAGCTGTGCGGGTCAGGGCAGGACTTGGGTCGGTGCTGGGGGTCTGGGAGGCTCACTTGGTCTTTATGATGCCCATACCCTCTGCAACCTGAGCAGAGAGGCACGGCCTCGCCCACAGGCCTGAGGCCAGGGTGCCAGCCTCCCCGCAGTGGCTCCAGCCTCCTCGGCCCCTGCCCCTATATTGCCCTAGCATCCGGCAGGGCAGGGCTCCTCTCTCCTTCCACGAGGAAGGAGCCACCATCCCCAGGCCAGCTGTGCTTTGGAGCATCCTGCCACACTCAGTCTCAGCGCAGCCCCCCACGGGCACCCCCATACTCAGGCTCAGTCTCCGCACTGGTACCCGACCCAGAAGGATCCTCCGGAAACATGTGGCTTTGCTCTTCCCCTCTCGGTCCGTCAGCCCTATTGGTTGAACCCTGCTGTGTGCAGTAGGGAAACTGAGGCCCAGAGAGACCACAGGGCTTGAGCAAGCCCCTCAGCCAGGCAATGTTAAGGGGGCCTAGGACCCAGTGTCCCAGCACCTAGCATCCCCAATCTCCTCTCCTGGCCTCTACGAACTTTTCACCTGGCTCCTCTGTCTCTGAGGGGTTGCAGGCTGGGTGGGGAGGGGCATGTCCCCACCCGACTCCCCAGCAATCAGGGGCCTTTGAAGAGCTCAGAGGAAGACTTGGGGCCCTCGCTGCCCCCCCGCCCACCCCAGGCCCCCATGGTGGAGAGGAGCTGCTTTATTTCTTCTGCCCCCTGAGCTCTGACCTGTGGGGCATCCATCCCCTGAGAACCCTCCGGTTCCCTCTCCTCCCTCTCCTGCCACATCTGTTTCCCGTCAGGCTCCGGCTGCGGCTCCCCTGCCCCCTAGGAGAAGAAAACACTGAAGGGCTCTGCCTCCCTGCTGGGGGGTGGGGGCGGCCCTGGGGTGATCCATCCCAGCAGCTGAAGGTTTTCCTTCCACAGAGGGGAGTCATCCTGGCGGCTCCCCCCCGCCCCCACCCTGCGCTCCTCCACTCAGCGGAGCCCCGACCCATGGAGGGAAGGGAAAGGGACACTGATAGGGTCACGGCCAAGGAGGAGGGATGGTGAGGGTATCGCAAGGGCGTTTCCACGGGGACTCAGCTGGATCCCTCGCTCCCAGCCTGCCCCCAGTCCTACATAATACTAATAATAGCAACAATGATATGTGATATTAATACTGGCCAGCACTTTGGTTTTCATGTGCCAGCTAACTTGGTATGTGTTAACTCATTTACTCTTCACAACCACCTTACAAGTAGGTGCCCTTATTAGCCCCATTTTATAGAAGAGGGCGTTGAGGCACAGAGAGGTTAAGGAACTTCTGGAGGTCACACAGCAATTGCTAAGTCTCGCAGAGCTTGACTTGATGGTTATACAGTGCTTTAAGACACCGACTTCTCTCTCTATCACGCATACGGTATATGTTATTGACCTCCCGCCCAGGTTACAGAAGGGTACGTTGAGGCTCCGGAGGAGAAAGTTGTTGTCCAACAGCCCTGGGCAGATAGGTGAAGCTGCAGGCCCCAGGGCAAGACCCTTAATGTCTTGGGGCCTCAGTTTCCTCATCTGTAACATATGGGGAGAGTAATGTGCCCCTCCCAGCCAGGCTGTCAGGTTGGATGGTATGATTTGTGTGGCAGTGCTCTGCAAGGTGTAAACCATGGGGGGCAAGAGTGGCCTCAGGCCTGCCTATTCTGGCATCTCTGGCCCCACCTGGAAGGCTGGTTCAAGGAGGGGCCCCGGCCAGCATGAAGAGTTGGGGAGGAGAGCTAGAAACCAGGCTGAGTTGATCTGGATGAGGGGAGACCCCAGTATTACCTCTCTCAGGCCTGGGGGAGCCAAGCGGAGAGTGTGTGGCCCCTGTGTGGCTGTGATGACAGGTGGACGTATAGGGACCCAGAGTTCAGCTCAAGGTCAGGGAGCCCTTCTTTCAGCCAGGGAGCTTGGCCAGCAGGGAGGTCCTCGGCCCTAGCTCGCCCATGGGGTGCTGTTGGTATTTATGAGATGCCTAGGAGAGCAGGTGATGGGCCCTTCACAGGCCTTCAAGCTTGGAATCGTGGCTTCAGTGACCCTTTCTTTACCTGGTGGTATCCCCTTCCCATTAATAATCATAACAAGCAACATTAATAGTTTTTATCTGCTATGCTCTTTCTACTCACTGAGATGTAACAACAGCCCCATGAGAAAAGTGTTATCAATGTCCCCTTCTGCAGACGGGGAGACTGAGGATCAGAGGGTCGGTGGCTTGCCCAAGGTCACACAGCTTGTAGGTAGTTCAAGCCCGTATCTGACACAAAGCCAAACTCTTTCTCCTCTCCCCCAGCCAGGAAAGCCAGTCATCTCAAAACCCCTTGAGACAAGGCCAAGGCTCCTGTCCTTTTTTGCAGGCTTTCTCTGTGTGGCTCTAGGCTTGAAAGTGCAGAGGTGGGTTTTATGACCCTGGGATCAGAACCCTGCCCATCCGCAGTCCCCGTGTTCATCTCCTAGACCCCCGTGACTCTTCCATTTCCCAGACCGCTGCGAGTGTCAGCTTTGGGCCAGGTATTGGGTAAAGCCAGTGCACTACTTTTGAGAGGTTCGTGGTCTGCCCAGGAGGCAGTGCTCACCCTCAGCTTCCCTCCAGGGCCATCCCTGGTCACGGTCACTGGCACCGAGGCTCCCTGGCCTCACACCAGCCTGCAGTTCCTGCTCCCTGACCCCAGCGTGTGGGTCCCAGCTGGCTTCCCTTGAGTCCCCCCAGATCCATGCAGGGGACTGTTCTGCAGGAGGGGGCTCTGGGCTGAGGCTTCGCCTGCCAGCCACGAAACTATCTGCTTCAAGAGGTGTGCCTAATAGCCTCCGTAAAATTTCCAGGGGAACAAATCTTTCCTGGCTTTTGAGAACCAGGACAGGAGAGTGAGAGGGAGCGGGAAGCTCCCTATGTCACAGATGTATTCTCGTACGTGCCTCACGCTGCTTAGCGTACAAACATCCAGACATCTGATTCCTCCCACGGCCCCACAGACGAGGTGCAGCGATGGCCCACTTTACAGGTGCGGCAACTGAGGCTCCTTAAAATCATATAGTGAAGTTCTGATCATTTGGCCACTCAACGGACAGTACCAGGCCTTGGGATGAGGGGCACCGGCTGCCAACCTCACGGAGCTGAGGTCTCATCCACCCTAACCCCGAAGCATGGGAGTGACAAGCGGCCTGGCGAGGAGCACTGGTTGTGTTGGAAATCAGGAGACTGGGCTTGGGTCTTCCTTGCTCTGGGCCTCGGTTTCCTCACCTGGGTGATGTCTGTGCCCCACTGTCCCACCTCTGTCCTGGGCTTGCTCAGAGAGTCCTGGGGGAGGGCACGGTGGTGTCTAGACTAGTCGCTCGGGTACAGGAACCCCTCCCACTGCCCAGCCCCAGCCCAGGACACGCACCTGCAACAGGCCAGAGGCAGGAAGGGCCCAAGCGCCTAGGCAAATAACCTCTGTGACTACAGGCTCGCTCTCTGGGCACGCCCTCCCCGTCTGTCTGTCTGTCTGGTGCTGTCCCTCGCTGCGTCTGTCTCACTCTCCCTGCTTCTGTTTGTGTTTCTGCCTCTCCACTCCCTCCTTCCTCTCTGCAGAGACCCCTGGAGAAGCCCGATGGCCTGGACGTGTCCGACCAGAGCAAGGAGCACCCCCAGCACCTCTGTGAGAAGTGCAAGGTGCTGGGCTACTACTGCCGCCGAGTGCAATGAGCCGCCGCCAGCCCGCTGCGCCCACAGCCACCTTCCTGCCAGCCAGAGACCACGCCCCCTCCCTGGGTCTCTCCGTGCGGCGGCGTGCGTGGGGGCGGGGCCTCGCAGCCTTACCGGCCTAGGCAGGGGGCGTCTTAGGCTCTTGTCTCGCGTGTGTTGACAAACAGTGTTACTGACATAGCTGCCCCACAGAAAGCCGGGTCTCTGGGACTCTCTACAGGTGGGCCTGGGGTCTGTGCAGAAGGGGCAAGGGTGAGCGGAGGTCAGTACACAGGACCCCATAAAGCCCTGGGTGTCCCCTGCAGGGTCCCTTCCTCTGAGACTCCCTTTGGGCTGAGCAGCCTTGCATTGGCCACAAGTGCACTAAATTTACTGTGAATCCCAAAGCCTGCAGGGGACTGTCTCTCCAGGACTACCCAGGCCTCCTTCTCTACCCAGAACCTTCCAGTCTGCGCTGAGTGCAAAGCCACTCAGAGAGCCCTACTTTTCTGTCCTGTTTGTGTCAGCAATCCTGGCTAGCTGACACCGGTTCTAGCAGCTGCTGGGGAGTGGGC